CAGGAACTAGGCCACAGAAAATTGTGGTTTCCTCCCCCCCCAAAAAACAGGAGAGAGAGATGCCTACCAACCTGTACCGCATCCCTTAGATATAAGCAACTTCTATTACACTGACAGTGGCTAGTTTCAGTATTTGAATAAAAATTTCCAGCTTATCCTGTATATAGCAGTCTCATTGTCAGAACATATAAGTGGAAGAAAATTTTAAGTTACTCCTTTTTCTTCTTGAATATCATTCTCTCCCCCTTCCCCTCCTTCCCATCTAGCATTATTTACATATATGCAAATTTACTGTGGAGTTCCACTAGAGCAAGTTGTTCTTAAAATCTTGTCTAGGAAATATTCTTTTTTACATACATATACATTTTGTCGGTGGGGCTAGCGGATTCAGGCTGGGGGTGCCCGGACTCCAGGGTGGGATGCATGGGCTCAGGCCTGTGAGTCCGGTAGGAAGGTGGCAAGGCCTGGCATCTTGTTTTGGTTTTTGTTATGACTTCGTTTTTAGAAACAAAAGTTGATTAACATGCACAGCACATCCACACAGGAGCACCCCAACATGAGTAACTCCGAGAACTGGTTTTGATTCTCAGACATGTGTGTGAGGGGTGCTGATGAAATTTCTACTTCCTTGCTTATTTAAGACATGAGACTATCTTTGGTTTCTTGTAATCATGTAATTAGTTACTATTTTAGTGTCGTGAATTTTCTGCTTTTGTCCAAAAGAGTGTTTAAAATGAAAATGCAAGTGTCTCAGACTGCTGGACCTTAGAGGGAAGAGAGGGAGGGAGGGGATAAAAGGGAGAGATCAACCAAAGGACTTGTGTACATACATATGAGACTAGCCTGGTCAAGGACAGTGGGGGTGGGGGGGGGTGAGGTGGATGCATGAGTGGGGGAGGGGTGGGGGATTGGAATGAGAGGTTGAGGACAAATATGTGATACCTTAATCAATAAAGAAATTTAAAAAATGCAAGTGTGCATACGTGTTGTTAGAATATAAATTCTTGAGAAAAGGAGGGTAGGGCGTAGCCAGGGGAGAAGGCCTTGGGGTTTGCTGGGGGTTACCTTGTATGCAGGCCTTGTTCCAGATGCCCTCAGAGCTGCCCTCAGAGGGGGCAGTGTCGCCCTGGTGGTGGTGGGGCCAGGCTTTGAGGGGTACGGTGTCTGCTCAGGGCCTCCGCTGGTCAGTGCTGGCGAGCTCAGACCCCCGTGCCTGTAAGCCTCATGTCCTCCTCATGAGCTAGGTTTGGGGTTTAGAACTTCATATCACAATGCATGTTGTTATAAGAATCATGTACTTGGTTTTATTCTCGGTAGATGAAAAACTGCTAAATAAAACGGACTGTAAAGTTAATAGGAGCTTTGTCTTCAGCCTGAGGAATCCCGTTTCCGGGGAGAAACTTGTGAACGTGTGGGTATTGTTCGGGAACGCTGCCCCTCCCCGCCGTGTTTCCTTCGAGGTCACCCAGCATCGGAATGCGTGCGCACGGATGTGCTGTGACGCACTCAGAAACTCTTCCTGGGGCTGCGGGGTCTGGGGACTAGGAGATGCTGCGTGTGCAGCCCCGTTTTGAGGGCATTGGCCGGCAGGACCACTGGGAGGCCGCTGAGGGCATGCCGGAGGGCGGGCGGGCCCACAGGAGCTGAGCCGGCTGTGGCCAAAACCAGCGGCGGAGTGGGGAGCGCAGACGTGCACCTTCTCTTCCGGTCCTTTCAGAACGCAGGGGGCGGTATGGGTGTCCCAGGTGCTCTAGAGTGAGAGGGCAAACAGTCCTCAAAGACAGTTCTTGTGCAGCCACCGTCTGCTAGCCAGCCCCGCTTCCCTCCTGTGCCAGCTCCTCCCGAGAAGAGAGGCAAGTGTCTGAGGACAGGTCAAAGAGAGACCTTTAAAGACCGCGTGGGGAAGAGTGGCTTGTAAATAAAAATCAGTCCCCGTCCCAGCACCTAGAGTCATATGTGAGTACTGAGGCCCCGAGCACCTAGTGTCATATGTGAGTACTGAGGCCCCAGCACCTAGCGTCATATGTGAGTGACTGGGCCCAGAGCACCTAGTGTCGTATGTGAGTACTACCCAGCATCATATGTGAGTCACTGGGCCCTGAGCACCTAGGGTCAATGTGAGTACTGAGGCCCCAGCACCTAGCATCATATGTGAGTACTGAGGCCCCAGCACCTAGCATCATATGTGAGTACTGAGGCCCCGGCACCTAGCATCATATGTGAGTGACTGGGCTCTGAGCAGCCGGGCCCTCGGCGATTGCCACCAGGTGTGGGGTCCGGAGTGACGCCGGGGCCACAGGCTGTGCTTCCCACCTTTCTCCTGCTGTAGCTCACACATGAGCTGGATTTGAGGTTAGAACTCCTGGCCTCCTGGGGCTCTCTGTACATGGGATCAGGATGCTTCAGGCTTGCACTGTTTTTTCCAGACTGACTTTTTTTAAAATAAATCTTTATTGTTCATATTATTACAAATGTTCCTCATTTCCACCCCCCTCCATTGTTCCCTTCCACCAGGTTCCCACCCCACCCTCTGCCCTTTCCCCACCCCCCATTGTCCTCATCCATAGGTGCACAGTTTATGTTCAGTCTCTTCCCACATCCCCCACTCCTTTTCCCCCGAGAATCGTCAGTTCACTCCCCTTCCATACCTCTGATTCTATTATATTCACCAGTTAATATTCTTCATCAGATTTTTATTCCCTTGGTTTTTAGATTCACTTGTTGATAGTTACGTATTTGTTGTTCATAATTTTTATCTTTATTTACTTTCTCTTCCGAAAGAACCCCCTTTAGCAATTCATATAATTCTGGTTTGGCAGTGATGAACTCCTTTAGCTTTTTTTTATTTATTTGTGAAGCTCTTTATATGGCCTTCAATTCTGAGTGATATAGCTTTGCTGGGTAGATTATTTTTGGCTGTAGGTTCTTGCTATTCATCACCTTGAATATTTCTTGCCATTCCCATCTGGCCTGCATGGTTTCTGTTGAAAAATCAGCTGACAATTGTATAGGTGCTCCTTTATAGGTAACTACCTGCTTTGCTCTTGCTGCTTTTAATATTCTCTCTTTGTCTTTTACTCTTGGAATTTTAATTATGATGTGTCTTGGTGTGGTCATTGGATTCCTTTTGTTTGGAGTTCTGTGCGCTTCCTGGACTTGTAAGTCTAATTCCTTCACCAGGTGGGGGAAGTTTTCTGTCACTATTTCTTTCAGTATGTTTTCAATATCTTGCTCTCATCTTCTGGGACCCCCATAATTCTGATGTTGGTTCGCTTGAAGTTGTCCCAGAGGTTTCTTACATTATCTTCAACTTTATAGATTCTCTTGTCTTCTTGCTTCTGCGGAGGAGTGTCTTCTGGCTTTTTGTGTTCCAAATCTTTTACTTGATTCTTGCAATCTTCCATTCTGCTTTTAGGACTCTGTATAACATTTTTTATTTCAGACAATGTATTCTTTATTTCTTGTTGATCCCTTATTATTTTAGTTGATCGCTTTTCTTTTTTTAAAATATATTTATATTGAGTTTTTACAGAAAGGAAGGGAGAAGGATAGAGAGCTAGAAACATTGATGGGAGAGAAACATCGACCAGCTGCCTCCTGTACACCCCTCACTGAGGATGTGCCTGCAACCAATGTACATGCCCTTGACCGGAATCGAACCTGGGACCTTTCAGTCCGCAGGCTGACACTCTATCCACTGAGCCAAACCGGTCTTGGCTAGTTGATCCCTTTTCATATCCTCATAGGTCTCGTTTATTTTATTGGCCTTTTCTAGGAAATTCTTAAAAAACCTTTTAAGTGTGGTTTTGAACTCTATATCCAGTCGTTTTTTGTCCTCCATTTCTTTCGTTTGTGATCTGCTTCTTTGTCTCTGCATTTTCGCAGCTTCCCTGAGTTGGTAGCCTTAAAAGTCTCTGTGCTCAGCTTGGATGGGGCGGAGTTTCAGGATGGAGCCTACAGCCTTGGCTTCTGTCAACCCTGTCCTATGAGGCTCCTGAGCCTCAGAATTCCTCAGTGTCCTTCAGTACTCGCTGTAAGCACCTCTGAGGGAAAGGTGCCCTCGAGTTTCGCCCGCTACCAAACAGTCTAGGATCTCCCCCAATGAGCCTGGAACTGGGGTTCAGTTCAGTTGGAAGTGGGGTTGGAAGTGGGGTTCAGAGTAGTCTGGAGCTTTTGTCTCCTTTCCACTAGGGCAATCCAGTAGCACAGTCAACTGCGAGAAATGTGCGCGCCTCTGGGACTTCCTTTCGCCGCTCCCCCCGGGGTTCCGCCTTACAGCCCAGGATCCCTCTGTATGAGCCTGGGTCCCCGGGGTCTGGCCTAGAACTGGGGTTCAGTGCTGTCGTATCTGGGATTCAGCACAGTCCGGAGCTCTTATCTCCTTCCTGCTAGGGAATGCCAGCCAGGCACTCAACCTCCCCCTCCTCTCCAACTCCGTCCTCTCCTCGCATGCAACATGTCTCCGTACCTTAGGCTTTTACAGCTCCTCTGCTTTTCCTTCTGGTTTTCTCTTTCCTTCTTGTTGTAGAATTTCCAATCAGTCAACTTTCCTGTGGTTTTGGGTAATGTCCATTTTGTATTTTAGTTGTATTTTATTGAAATTGTTGTGTGAGGCTGCGGTTAGGTGTTTACCAATGCCACCATCTTGGATTCTCTATTTGTTTCTTTCCTTCAGACTGACTTCCTGATGACCAGTCGGCACCTCCCCGTGCTAGAGCTGTGTGTGAAAGGCAGTGGTTCGGTGAGGGCACCGCCATCAGACGCAGAAAGGAAGCCTGTTGACACTGCACAGGCACCAATGTTGGTGCTGCGTCGGTGTCTGTGCAGTGTGAACATGCTTCCTTTCTGCTCTGCTCTCTGTCATGGCCACGGTCAAGTGACACTGATGGGCCTGGATGGTTCAGACAACTGGTCCTAACGTGCTCCTTCACTCCCACCGAGGTCTTTGCGTCCGGGCTCTGCACGTCCAGCCTCCTCTGAATCCATGCCTTCCCTTGCAGGTGTGATGAAGCCAGCAGGGCCCATGGGGGCTGCGCCTGGGGGGGTGCTGCCTCCGGGCCCCCCGCCGCCTGGACCACATCAGTTTGGCCAGAACGGAGCTCATGCCCAGGGCCGTCCTCCCCAGAGGTGAGTGGGATGGATTCCAGCCCTCGTTTGACTAGTGCGTGGACACTGTCTCAGGTCGCTCCACACCCACGTGTTTGTCCACGGAGAGTCTGGCCTCATCCTCAAGCACCTATGGCCGAGAGCCCCAGCACACAGGCTCATAGGAAGTCAGGAGGGACAGCCCAGCACTGGTGTGGTGGGAGCCCCTCCCGGTGCCGCCCAAGCCTGGAGCTACAGCCTGGTGCAGTCTGCTGGGAAGGAGCTCAGAGCAGACCCAACCTGTGAGAGACACTTCCTGGGTAAATCGCGGAGGGCGGGGAAGCAGGTCCTGGAAGAACGGGCTGAGGAAGCTAGCTGTGGAGTAAAGGAAGGGCCTGGGAGCTGGGGAGTGATGAGCTAAGGGTCGTCACCTGGATGTTGGGAGTGGGGGGAGGGAGAGGCAGGGGGCCCTCTGTCCTGAGGGGTAAGGATGGGATTGTAGGGGAGGTCCCAGGAGAAAGTGTGCTTAGAATATTCAGCAGCTTTTAGGGTGTGGTCTCCACTGATTGACTGGCAGCACCAGGGCTGGGATCATCGTCCCCTGCAGCTGGCCCTAAGGTCAGCATGGCTGGTTTTATTGCTCTTCTGGGCCTGGAGCTGACACACAACTGAGGCCTCGATGTTGTCTCCAAGGAGGAAAGGTCAGGGGGTCCAAACCAATGAGCAGCAACATGCTCGGAAGGAAAGGTCATCCTGGGGGTAGGGGCGGCGGGGGCGGGGTCCCACCCACCATTGCTTCTCCATTGCTAGGCTCCGGGGCTTTCCATCCTGGTGGCCTTACCTGCCCAAGGTCCTTGCTTGACTGGTCTCACTGCCTGCAGCATCGGTACATACTAGACATGTATAAAAGTTACTGTGTTCGTACCAGGCTTCTCACTGTTGGGTTTTAGGCATCTTATTTCAGAGTTTTGTATTAATCTCTCATTTCTCAGATGTCAATGGCCCGTATTCCCAATGCAATTTTAAACCCTCTTGTCTCTCAATTTTTTCACGGAACTGAGCACAGTGCCTGCAGAGATTTGATAAATATTTAAAAACAAATCAGAGGCAGTCCAGGGAGAGAGTGGATTTGCCTCCTGTGAGAGTGAGTCCTTGATGGGCTGGTGGGAGTGAGAGCAGTCCAGGAGGGAGCTCAGGCCATGTTTATTGTAAGGAAGGAAGGGCCTGGGAGGTGGGTGCTCCCAGCCTGCACCCTCCGGACTGTCCCTGGGAGGGAGCTGTCACCCGCCCGCTGGAGCCCTGCTTGTGTGTCCACGGAGATATGGAGAAGCTGTGCTCAGGAGCACTGTTTGCTTGGGAACTTCTCCAAGGATCACCCGAGGCCGCTGTCTCCCAGCTTCCTTCCCCAGAGGGTCAGGTTGCGAGGTCGGGACCCCAGTGTGAATCTGGCCCCATAGAGAGTGGAGCCATTTTGTCACCAGGTCAAAGGAGCCCCGGTCCCGCAGTCGGTGAATCTCCTGCCCGGTGCTGGGGAGGCTCATGGTGCTGGCTCTGGTTTGTCCTGACCCTCTGCACAGAGGGGCGGCTGTGAGAGGAGGAGCTGGCAGATGCAGGGAACGGGCAGCTGAGCAGTTTGCATGTGACAGGTCTGAGTGAAGCCTAACGCTGTGGTGCTGGTGCTGCTCCCTCTGCCTGTCCTGCTTGTAACTGTGGAAATGGTGTCACAAGCGGGACAGGGGAGGGGAGGGAGCAGACCCGGTAGTCCGCTGCTGTGAACTGCCAGCATCGCAGGTGTTTTAGGGAAGAAATGTAAAAGCTGAACAGCTGCTTTGAAGCGCAGGGAAGGTGTGGTCTCCGGTGTCAGCTTTGGTTCTCTCCCTGTTTGTCCTGATGAGGCTCCTTGGCTTAGTGAGCCTCGGCCGTCCCCTGCTGTGGGTGGCGCTCAGCGGGCTCTGGCTCCAGGTCCGGTGAGCTTGCTCTCCTGGCTCAGGCACGGCTGACCGGAGCAGGCACCACCCTGAGCCTTGGATCCTCATCCCCTTGGACGTCAGGTGGCGTGAGGGTGGCTGAGCCATGGAGGGGCACGGGGCTCTGAACCGGTCAGTGCCCCATCCACGGGAGACCGCTGCCTCTGTGGCCCCGCTCTGACAGCTGCATCTATAATAGGATCGCAGCCAGCACCCGCAGGCCTTGCCCCCTCTTCCACATTCCCCTGCTCCCACGTGGGCTGTGAAGGCCAGGGTGGGGTGAGACACGCAGAGGCCAAGGGAGTCCCGTGTGCAGGCTCAGCCCTGGGGCTGCCAGGACGCTGCTGCATGACTCACCCTGAGCTCAGCTCCAGAACATGGAAGACAGGTGGACATGCCCAGAGAGGCGCACTTAATTTTACAAGTTATTGGTGTTCCTGTATGTCATGTGCCTATGGAACTCTATGGTCTAACTTACATCCTCTTCTCTCTCAGATTCCCAGGCCCTCCTCCTGCCAACAATGCGGCATCCTCCTATGCCCCTTATCCACCCGCGACACAGTCATCGTATCCCAGTGCCATGCCTACTGCATCTGTCTCCCAGCTGGGCAGCCAGCTCGACACCATGCACATCAGCTACGGTAATGTGCCCCTGTCTGTGCCCCTGTCTGTGCCCGGGCCGCCTGCGTCAGGAGTGCCTGAACGCGAAAGGTTCTCTTTTCCACATGCTCTGGCCCTGGCGCAGTGCACCCACGTTGTGTTCGGACGTTTTGACATCGCTCATGTGTACTGTGAATGGCTGTAATTAACTGCCCCTGACCGTGCTGCCAGTTATTTGCGATAATTGAAGGACCCTAGGGTACCTTACGTTCAGTACACGACAGAAAACACAAACGCTGCGGTCACAGTAAGCCTGAGGACGCGACCTTCCTCTGGGAAGCACGAGGGCAGCTTAGCCTCTGTGTGTACGAGCCTTGGTGAGCAGTGCTCCACGGGCACGGGGTCGGGAAGGCCCCGGTGCCGGGCAGCAGAGCAGGGAAGGGCAGGCAGGCAGGACCGGTGCTGATTGCCCCAAGGTGCTGGGTGCATCTTCCGAAGAACATTTCCATCACTGAGAGTGAGTGTCAGAAGTATAAGTGGGAAAACCCTGATATTTCTTATCTCTCGCTGATTCCAAATGGGTCCGTCTCTGTCTCCGTGAAGCATCCACGTTCACACTCAGGAAGGGAAATAGTCCAGTATGATTGGAGGGCGTGCCAGCACCCCTGGTTCTGAACCCGCTAGATCGGGAACAGCTCAGGGTGCAAACACGGACTGGCTGTGTGGTGACCTCACTGATGCCTGTTGCGTAACCACTGTTCGTGTGTCCGTCTCCTGTATGACTCTTGATTTTGTCCCGGATGCCATTCCCTAGTTAAGGCGTATGTCAAACAAAGTCAGTGCAGCGGAGTTAAACTTAATCTGCTATCTTCTCACTAAAATCATGATGCTGTCGTTCCCTCTAACATGTCCCCGCATGAGATGGCATCTGTGTCACGTGCTGAGTGAAGTCCTCTTGTGGGGAGAAGGCAGTGGGTTTGTGGGTGCTTCTTGCTTCTTGTCGGGAAGGTGCCGTGTGTCCTTGGCGGGACAGATGGAAACACGGTGTCCGTGACAGCTCATCTTTCCCACAGGCTCGGGCACGGCGCCCCCTGGCCAGGCACCCTCGGGCCAGGGTGCTCCGCCGCCTCCTCTGCAGCCGTCCATTCTGCAGCCTGGGTCTCAGGTGCTCCCCCCACCGCCCACCACACTGAACGGCCTGGGGGCACCACCCATGCCTCCATCCTGCCCAGCACCTCCGAGTGCCCAGCTGCAGCCCCCACCGCTTCCAGGACAGACCCTGGGCAGTGGGTACCCCCCGCAGCAAGGTGAGACGGGCAGGGCCAGGGCAGGGCCTGGGGATCGGGGCTGCCCTCCTGGAAATCACTCTGCTCTTGCACTGGGGCCCCTGTCACCACTGAGGGAGGGACTCTGACAGTGTGGCCCCTGGGAAGAGAGGGCTCTGGGAAGAGAGGGCTCTGTGCCAGGCGATGGCGCAGTGTGCCCACTGACCAGCAGGGCTCTGCCATGGGCCACCTCTGTGTTTGGATTCTAGTAATTTCTTTGTAAAATTGTTCCAAACAGGCATCTACGGCGCCCAGATGCCAGGCGCGCAGCTGGCGGGCCCGGGGGGCTTTCCCGGAGGGCCTGCACAGATGGCGGGCCCGGCCCCGCCCCAGAGGAAGCTGGATCCCGATGCCGTGCCCAGCCCCGTAAGCACCCCTCCCTCCCGCTCCTCATCTCCCCCCCAAAGGGCCGCGCTCTGCCCCTCCTTCCCAACGCTCTCCAGGGTGGGCATCTCCCGTCCCTTTGCTGGCGGGCGCTCCCCACGCAGGGAATGCTTCCTTCCCGTGTGTGTGTGTGTGTGTGTGTGTGTGTGTGTGTGTGTGTGTATGTGTGTGTGTGTGTGGGCAGAGGGGTCACGCACTGGGCTCCCTGAGAAGCAGCCTGTGTAGATTCCTCTTTGCTATTCTGTGAACTTGCAGTATCTGCTGATGTATTTACTATATTGGCAGTGTTTATTATGTGCAATGAGTCCTTAGTAGTAAGAGTGTGTCCTGTATGCACATACTATCTAAATAACTAAGGGACCCTTTTTTACAAGAGTAAGATTTCCGTGGAGAGGGAAAGCAAAGTGTAGTTTGCATATTAAAAAACAAAATTATTTTTGAACCAAAGAACGTACATACATACATATTTAACCCACGGACACAGCCAATAGTGTAGTGAAGGCCTGGGGGTGGTGATGTGGGTGTGGGATGGGGGGGTCAATAGGAAAAAAGGGGGGGCATATGTAATAATTTCAACAATAAAGATAAATTTAAAAAATTATTTAATGTAGAAGTAGAGCTGTAACTTTTCCATCCAAGAAGAGGATTGCTCTAGGAACTGTATCAGTCAGGTTTCACTAAGTTACTCTGTATAACAACCCCCAGCTCTGTTCACAACTGCAGAGATTTGCTGCCACCTAAATGGCCTGCAGGCTCAGCAGCTGTAGTTTGGCCCCTGCCCTTTTCCACATTCCAGGGTGAGGGGCAAAGGGAGAAGAGGAAGAGGGCTGTGGAGGGCAGCTCAGGAGCTTCCAGTCCCCCTGTGCCCCGGGACGGCCTCTCAGCGTCAGCTGGTGCTGTTAGCGATCCGTGCTCAGCTCCACAGGCCCCCTGAGCCAGACCTCAGGCATTCGGGAAGCAGCTCCCTCAGTGGTTCCTGTCTCAGGGCTGTATCGAGGTGCGGATAGTCCTGGTCAAGATCTTTCCCTGAACCCGGATTCCAACCCCCTCTCCTAGCTCTTTGGCCAAAACACTCGATTCTCTTTCCCACACGCCTTCCGGCTAGCCCTTTGGCTGACTCTGGTCCTGGTCCTGCCCTGGTGCCCATGTCCCCCCTGGGCCCTGGTAGAGCCTCCCGTGGCCAGGGTGGTAGGTGGGTATTCTCATGATGTGGAGTGAAGGAGTGAACATAAGGACAAAAGCCAGAGCAGCACGTGCTGGCTCACCCTGACGCTAGAATGCGCACAGGAAGAGCATCCGGTGTGTTGTGCCTATAAGGAATGAAAGAGCAACGCTAGGGGGTTATGCTCCTATCACCACAGCAGCATGCTTTTGCTGCTAACGGCATCCTCGCTCTGGAAGGAAAGGATAACATCCTGCTCACTGAACGCCTGCTGCACAGCAGTCTGAGCTAGTGCTCCCCGCCCAGCCCCTGCCCAGGCCCTGGAAGTGAGGCCCTGGTCTCCCCTCAGGACTCCCTCTCTCCCTCTGTGTCTGCAGGAGCCAGTTCTCCTGCCCCCAGGTCACATCCCTGCCCTTGGCAGCCCCGAGACACACCTTGTGGCCCCCTCCCCCCCGCCCCTCTCCCATCCTGTTCATTATCCCAGAGAACGCCTCTCCCTGGTCCTGTTTCATGGCCCTGAGCACGCCGTGGCCCATAGTGTGAGAGGCTCCCGGCTCAGGCTCCCCTGCGGGAGGCGACTTGGCTTTGTCACGAGCCAAAGCCCGGAAGCACAGGTCACACTCAGGGCCTCTGCTGGGATTTCTCGGAAGTCGCACCTCTGGGCTTGTTTTCTGAGCACACACATTCGAGGTCAATTTAAATATATTTTTTAAAATTACTACAACTGTTAGAGCATTTCTCACTCTCTTCGTAGCACTCCAGCCAATGTGTAGGTTAGTTTAGAAATGTAATTACCATGTGTGACATCCTTTCTTTGGAGCCAGTGCTTGTAAATTGCAAATGGCGAATTAAAAACAAACTTTTTGGAAATAATCTATTTGAAAACTAAGAACCATCTACGTTCAATATATAGATTAGATAATTTTTATTTCACTGTCATATTTGACACTTCATTGGTGAAACCATTACAGTGAATGTTGATAATATAAAATCTATCCAGTTTTGAACGAACAGGCTAGGCTGAGCTGTAGGAACTGTGGCTGGAATACGGAATGTAATTAGTGCTTTGGCCATCCTGTTTGCCTCCTGTGTCTGCCCGTGCTAGCTTGAGTCATCTGTGCTGCACAGTAATTGTGTTTGGAGCATATTCTATATCTTTAACCCAGTTAGAACCCCAGTCCAGTGATTTGAATGAAGGAGGCAGGCTGTGTACTTACAGGCTGGCGGAGCCGGAGGAGTCAGACCCCGGCTCAGCGCCAGCTAGCCAGCCGGGAGGGGTGAGTTGGGGGTGGGCAGGGCACCATTTCAGAGTTTGGGGAAGACAGTTTGTTACTGTGAGTAACTTCTTTTGGAACATAAACAACTATGTATCTTCCAAAGCCACGCACTTCAGTTTGACACTTTCCTCCTTTCTCCAGTTTCCTTTCTTTCCTCTCTGTCTGACCCCAGGCTCGTTCATCCCCATGAAGAGAGGAGGCGCACAGAGGGAGGAAAGAATTGTAGGGTTCCCTCTTGTTTCTCTGGTTCCACACCGCAGCTCCTGCTCCTTGCTGCCACCTAAAGCACATACGACAGAGAGACTGTCTGTCCCTCCAGTTTTCTTTTTTTTATATATATATTTTATTGATTTTGTACAGAGAGGAAGGCAGAGAGTCTGAAACGTCGATGAGAGAGAATCATTGATCAGCTGCCTCTTGCACACCCCTACCGGGGATATGCCCGCAACCAAGGTACATGCCCTTGACCGGAATCGAACCCGAGACCCTTCAGCCCCCAAGCTGACGCTCTATCCACTGAGCCACACCGGTCCCGGCTGTCCCTCCAGTTTTCATCACAAGATGCTTTCTTAGACATTCCTGAGGCTTCCGAACGAACGACACGGTTTAGGACTTGCACTCTCTTCTGACCTGTGCCCTGTGGGAGCCCACCGGGCGCTGTTTGTCTCAAGTCACGGGGGGCGGGGAGGGGGCAGAGGGTACTGAATGCCGAACGGGATTTGAGGAGGACCTTAAGTCTTGTTTGGGTCTTATGTTGTAAGTCTCATTTTGAGGCTTCTAGACTTTTCTTCAATTGCAAAAATTATTTCTTTAAAAAGTTATTTTCAATTTGTTTTTTACCAGATTTTTAAAAAAATATATCTTTATTGATTTTTTACAGAGAGGAAGAGAGAGGGATAGAGACTTAGAAACATCGATGAGAGAGAATCATTGATCAGCTGCCTCTTGCACGCCCCCTACTGGGGAGGTGCCCGCAACCAAGGTACATACCCTTGACCGGAATCGAACCTGGGACCTTTCAGTCCGCAGACCGATGCTCTACCGCTGAGCCAAACCGGTTTCAGCTTTCTACCAGATTCTTTAAAAATGTTTAAGTCCCAATAAACAAATTGAATAAAAATAAAGTTCTCTGAAGGGTTGGGTCAGAGCTCGGAGTATTAAGAGTAGAATTGGGAAGGACTGACCTAATTCTGTCACAATCAGTATTGGCTGCTAAGGAGCTTGCTCCGCAGTGAGCTGTGTTGTGTGAGCAGTGAGGGGGCGAGCCGTGGAGACGACAGGACTGACTTGCTCTCTATCTTCCCCACCAGATCCAGGTGATTGAGAACGACCGAGCCGCCCGAGGGGGACAGGTGTATGTCACCAGCACCAGAGGCCAGGTCCCGCCCCTGGTCACCACAGACTGCGTGGTGCAAGACCAAGGTATTTATTCGCAACAAGAGTTTTGATTGAGGTTTTATAATTTTTATTATTTTTTAATATATTTTTATTGATTTCAGAAAAGAAGGGAGAAGGAGAGAGAGAGAGAAACATCAATGATGAGAGAATCATTGATTGGCTGCCTCCTGTATGCCCCAAACTGGGGATTGATCCTGCAACCTGGGTATGTGCCCTAACGGGGAATCAAACTGAGATCTCCTGGTTCAGTGGTCAGTAAACTTATTAGTCAACACAGCACAGCAAAATATCAACAGGACAACGATTGAAATTTCTTTTGAGAGCCAAATTTTTTAAATTTCTTCTAACACCACTTCTTCAAAAGAGATTCACACAGGCTGAGGTATTTTGTGGCAGAGTCACAGTCAAGGGGCCAAAAAGCCGCATGTGGCTCGAGAGCCGCAGTTTGACCACCATTGCCCTGGTTCATAGGTTGACACTCAGTCACTGAGCCACGCTGGCCGGCTCGCAGCACTGATCCCTCAATCGCGCCTTTGCTGATGGGAATGTTTTACAGGTGATTCTGTGAAGATCCGTCTGTGTCTCTGCAGAGCCTGAGCGGGGACAGGGCTCTGAGGTCCAGTCACGTCACTCTCTGTACGTGGGACCCACGTTGGTACTTAAGCTCTCCAAGCCTCAGTTTCCCCTGCAGCACTGTGCTCGCTGCAGGATGCAATGTGAGACGGAGGTCACACAGAACAGAGAGCCCTGAGCACAGCGTCAGTCACCAGCACAGGCGGGCTGGCAGCCGCGGTCTCGTTTCGGTGAGGGCATGCACCATCACAGTCTTGGGGGCTCTTTACGCTCATGATGGTGTATTAGCTCATGCCCTCCTCTGTCACCTTACTCGCTGCATGGGACCTGGCAGACGGCATGGGCAGAACCCGGGGCATTTGAAGGTGGGAGATGTCGGCGGGCCGCATCCCTGCCAGCCGCGTCCTGACAGCAGCTCCTTTAAGACTGATCTGTGTGCCCTCTTTGCCGCCAAGACGAGGAGCGCTGAGCTGTCCCTGGCCACGCCCTGGCCAAGGTCACTTAGTCCACTGTCAGCCTCGAGCAGGGTTCATCTTCCGGATCAGAGTGTTGTTATGGCAGCTAAAGTCCACCTTCATAAGGCGGACACCTAGTCCACGAGATGCTGTTTGCTGGGTCACGTCCTCGGCCCTGGAAGTACAGTGTCTGTGTGTGAACACACATTTTGTGTCACCTCAGAGTTGTGGAGCCAGCCAGGTTCTCATTGGGGGTCTCCCCTCCTCACATGTCTGTCGTCTGAGCTGGCCTCAGCTCTGTCCAGGCAGCAGCTGGGCAGAGAGGCTTTGTGGGAGCCTCCCGGGCCTCGCACACCTGCACACCTTCACATCTCACACACCTGCATGTCTCGCACACCTGCACACCTTCACACCTCACACACCTCACACACCTGCACACCTGCACTTATATACCTGCATGTCTCACACACCTGCACACTTACACACCTGCACGTCTTGCACAACTGCACACCTACACACCTGCACGTTTCGCACACCTGCACACCTGCACGTCTCGCACAACTGCACACCTACACACCTGCACGTTTCGCACACCTGCACACCTGCACGTCTCGCACACCTGCACACCTACACACCTGCACGTCTCGCACACCTGCACACCTGTACGTCTCGCACACCTGCACACCTACACACCTGCACGTCTCACACACCTGCCCACCTGCACGTCTCGCACACCTGCACACCTTCACATCTGCACGTCTCGCAGACCTGCACACCTACACACCTGCATGTCTCGCACACCTGCACACCTACACACCGCACGTCTCGCACACCTGCACACCTGCACGTCTCGCACACATGCACATGAATCCAGGCTCCTTCCTCCTGCCCCCTGAGCTTTGCTCCTCTCGCCTCTGCGCCTCAGCATTGCCCACCCTCAGTGACAAGTGAGAACTCACAGCTGCCCCAGCTGCCTGCCTGGGAAACCCCGCGTCTCTTCAGAGGCTTTGCTCGCCGTACTTTTCACTGAGGCCCCCCTGCGGCTGTTTACAATGCAGGCGCCTCCCTTAGCCAGGTGTGCGTTCCCATCCACTTCCGTCTTCCGAGGCCACACGCCGCCTCTGGGGGTTAATATGTGTGTGTCCTCCCGGGGACGGCATCTCACCCGTAGCAAAGGGCTGAGGGTTTCGTTCTCTTCACCATAAAATGTTACAAGTTTTAATCATAATTTAATTTCAAGTTTTATTTTAGGAAAGTTATTCTAGAGATTCAAAGTATTTGTCATGCCATGAAATAGATACAATTGCTTAGGAAACAATGTATATTAAAAATAGATTGAAGAGCTTTAAAATACATTTCTATTACAAATAGAACTTTCATTTCTAGATTTGATTTTCAGTTTAAAACTGACGTAATCAAATGGAATCGCACTGAGGAAGTGTCCCCTGCGGACACATGTGGCCCAGAAGCTCAGCTCTCCGCAGCCCGCAGGGGTCTCTGGGAGGCGGGAGGGCGCCTGCTCTGAGCCTTAGCTCCATTTCCCGTTGGCGTTGGCCTGAGCGCCCTGGGCTGCAGTGGGTGTGTTAACCCCTGCGGTGGGAGCAGTGGGACCACCTGTCTGCTCAGAGGGTTGTTGTGTGAGCAGTCGCAGTGCCCCTGGCGGCTGGATGGTGGAATTGCACAGTCCTCCTTTTTTTTTAGAAACCCTGAGGCAGGTTTTACACACAGGCCACGCATTACCCAGCAGCCTTTTCACAGTGCTCACGTGTCCCCGTTTCATGCTGATCTGAGTGTGCCTCTGACTGTTCCAGGCAATGCCAGTCCTCGCTACATCCGCTGCACCACCTACTGCTTCCCGTGCACGGCAGACATGGCCAAGCAGGCGCAGATCCCCCTGGCCGCCGTCATCACGCCCTTCGCCACCGTGCCTGCCAACGAGGTAAGCGTGCTGAGGGGCGCAGTGGCCTGCCTGCTCGGCATTCTGCCTGCAGCCTGTTTTCTCGGACAGCAATGTGTGTGGGAACAGAACACAGAGACATGTATAGAGCAGAGACACGTCACCATTCAACCCGTTATTCGTTAGGAAAACAAAAATCGGACAAGCGGCGTTTTGGGGCCTCCTGTGCGCCAAGCACTGGTGGCCCGGGTCACTCTCTGGCCTGTTGGGACGATGCATGTGAATGCCACACCCGCTGTGAGACCTTCGTCCCAGTTCAGGGCGTCTCTGGGTGTTCTGGGAGGAGATAACAGAGCCCAAGGTCCTGTCTCCCTGCACCTGCTTTGCCAGTCCCCGGGCCAGATGCCGCAGTGCTGCTCAGTCCACGTGATTGGGAAGCAGGAGCACATGCATCTGCGTGCTTCGCCTTGGGAGGGTGTCCTCAGTACATGGGCAGGTGGGGAGGCAGAAGGGGGCTCTGTTAGTGGGCCTTGTGGTCCGCACATTCTCTCCGCAGCCGCCGTTCCTCCTGCTGTGCCCGGGGGACGCCCGCCGGCACACAGAGGCGCCCTGGAGCAGAGCTGGTGTGGCAGGCGGGGAGGAGGGGGGTGAGAAGAGCCGAACTTCCGGCTGGAGCAGTGGCCCTCAGCCAGGCGGGAACCGGGCTCCTTTTGCTGCGCCCAAGGCAGGAGCCTCGGATTCTCTTCCCAGCGTAACCCTGCTGGTCCTTGGAGGCCAGCTGATCTTATGTGCACGCAGCAGCACCTGAGCAAGGGGCGGGCATCTGAGAGAAGACTCGCACCTGACTTGGGGCCATGCCAGCTGGGGGGGGGAGGGTGTGGCACAGGGAAGGGAGAGGGCCTGCTGATGTCACTTCCGTGAAGAAAGAAGCGAGATGGGGCCCATGGAGACATGGCTTTCCTCTCCTGTAGGATGCCCCTCGCTCTCCTGTGAGTGCGGGAGCGCTGCCCTCTCTCCTTTGGGAGTGGAGGGGAAGGGGCGTGCGCAGGGCAGAGAGGAGGCACTCCTAGCAGTCAGTCTGCATGCAGAAGGACACTCAGGACTGACGGCCCCAGGACATAATGCAATACTCCTGGCTCTTTAGAGTCACTGAGCCGGGTGGGGAGAGCTGCTCCCGAGGCTCCTGTGCACAAGCCGCTGGGCTGTGTGACCCATGCCGACCCCTTTGCCCCCGGCCCCTCTCTGCGATGTGTTTCACTGTCGACTGCAGACTCAGTGCCTTCCTCCAGGTAAACTACAGCACCCCACAACCAGAGGTAACGTGTGCTCTCAGAGTCCTCTTCCCTCTGAGGCACAGCTCACTGACCGTGAAAGGCACTATCTTAAGTAAACGTGTCCCTGAACGTCGGCAGAGGCATGCACTGTGCGTGCCCAGCCCGTTAAGACGTGCACTGCCTCCGTCAACCTCCCAGCCCTCCTCGGGTTTGTCCCCGGGACGGTTTTCTAGAGCGTGCACCTACGGACGTCTCCACGCAGCTGCCAAGGAGGGGGCGTGGGGCGTGCAGGCTGGCTTCCCTGCTTCATGGCGGGCGAGTATTTCACTGTGGCCGCCCTGCTGCTCCAGCTCACGGGGACACCGGGGCTTGGGATAGAAGCTTCTGTCTCTCTTCTCGGGCAAGTCTTCCCATGGACGCCGCCTCTCTCCGGTCGGTGCCAATGTACCTGATTATTCCCTTCCAGCATTTTCCAAAGTGGCTGCACCACTTACAGTTCAAATAGCATTTTAATTTGTTGTTCTCTGCAGCACATGACTTGCTTGTTTTTATGTCTAGTGAAATGTTAGGACTTCACTCCTTATCGGACTAATATTACCATCATTACTGCAATTTAGAAAGAGACATCTTTCAAGACTTCCTGATTGGCATTGATCTAAAGGATTTACTTAGTACATTATACTTTTTATTTATTTATTTATTTATTTTTTAAAAGTTCATAATTCTTTTTTTAAAAAATATATTTTATTGACTTTTTACAGAGAGGAAGGGAGAGAGATAGAGAGCTAGAAACGTCGATGAGAGAGAAACATCAACTAGCTGCTTCTTGCACACCCCCTACTGGGGATGCGCCCGCAACTTAGGTACATGCCCTTGACCGGAATCGAACCTGGGACCTTTCAGTCCGCAGACTGACGCTCTACCGCTGAGCCAAACCGGTTTCGGCACATTATACTTTTTAAAGTTTCGGTTCTGTTTAACGAACCTTTTAAAGCATGCCGCTGTGCTAGCCCATAGAAACAGCCTCCCCCAATGGTGATGACCCGGGAACACGCCCTGGAGCATTGCTTTGGAGGCATGTGCTATCGCTGAGCGCATCCTGTGTCTTCGTGGCTTAATTTTCCATTTTCCGGAAATGTTAATTTTCTGGTGTGTGTTTTAAGTGAAAGCCGTGCCCACGTTCAGTATAATTACCTATGAAATACTCACTCCTGTCACTAACTGCTAGCTGAGAAGCTCTTGTGTTTTGTAACCTTGACTTTATTTCCGAGGCTCTGTTTTAAGAACCGAGTAGAAATGGTATAGATTGCCAGTGCGGAGGAGTGAAGATTGTACTTCATTAGATTTACATTTTCTTTAAGATGGGAAATGGCCGAAACCTGTTTGGCTCAGTGGATAGAGCGTCAGCCTGTGGACTGAAGAGTCCTGGGTCCAATTCCGGTCAAGGGCAGGTACATTGGTTGTGGGCACATCCCCAGTGGGAGGTGTGCAGGAGGCAGCTGATCGATGTTTTTCTCGCATCAATGTGTTCTAGCTCTCTATCCTTCTTCCTTCCTCTCTATAAAAAAATCAATAAAATATATTTTAAAACAATAAATATATGATCTAAAAAAAAAAAAGAGATGGGAAATGGTGGGATTTTGGACAATTGCATACATCTAACTGTACGTGGAGTTGAGTGATGCCGCCGGTAAACCAGATGGCAGCTGCACTGCATCTGTGGCTGGGTTTGGGATGCCTGTGTGTGAACATCACTGTCCAGTTGGTTTCCTCTCACGTGGAATAGGTCAGTGCCAACGCACTCCACCCAGGACTTCAGTCTCCCTGGGTATCTGGTCCCTTCCTCCGCTCTGCAGGCACCAGAGGATTCCTCTTCCTTCTGAGGCACAGTTCACTGACCGTGAAAGGCACATATCTTAAGTAAATGTGTCCAAAATGCGACAATTTCCCTAGGAGCAGTATTAAATTAAAACACGCGTGTGATTGGCACCGTGGAGCACTATATATGTATCACGCATGTATGAGTCAATGCTTATTTTTAAATTACCATTGCACGCCATATGTATCGACCGGTCAGTGGGATGAATAAATTGCAATGTGGTTCATATTGAATGTCAACAAAAGCAACCAAATTCACAATTGACAATGACAGATTGAAATACCCGCGTGACTGGCACCTGCAAGAGCTTTACATGTATCACACACGCATGAGTCAGTGCTTATTTTTAAATTGCCTGTGTGTGCCATACGTACTGGTTGGTTGATCGGATAGATGGTCGGATGGTCGGTCACTTAGCCTTTTATGTGTAGAGATTGTACCGCTGTGTGGTTTCACTCGGTCTTCATGGGCCTTGGTGGAAGAACCTCCCACATGCTGTCCTGTCCTGTTAGCTACTTGATTCCTATTCAACCTTTAGATTTTAGTCCAAGGTCACGTCCTCAGAGAGCTTTGCCTCGCACCTCACAGCGCACCCTCAGCTCCCGGACACCCCACCACAGTGGCAGTTTTGTGTTTGTGCAGGTGATTGTGTCTTTCTCCTGCTACATCCTGTGCGGGAAGACACCTGTTGCTTCCCAAGACCTTCATCAGCTCTTGGCGTTGCTGCGGCAGATGCACATTTGATACTTTCATGGCACAATACCATTCGTGTGCGGAAGCAAACAGGGTTTTGAGGACAAGTAGTGGGATGAGATCCTCACCATGGGGATCTATGCGCAAACATTCGGAGCATCTGCTTTGTACAGATGCTCTCTGATGAGTTACACCGTCAGCACGGGTGCTGGCCACCCAGAGCCACACTGAGCCGGGGCCTGCCTTTCTGAGTCACCTCCACTCAGGCTCCGTCACTTATTCCAATGTCCAGGTTGTAACCAAATAAAATATTTCATTTCCTGCACGTAGGCGCTTACGGAAAATAGCCTTGGGGGCCTCACTGCCAGACAGACAGCTGTGACCAGGGCACCAATTACTTAAAGTATTTCCTGGACAGTAAGATTCTGCATATGTTTGTTTCTTCCAGTATCATCACACTATAAATGTGAAGATATATGCATGTTATAAGAGAGAAAGGGGGAGAGGGTATGTAACAAAGATATAAAACAAGATTAAAATCTTTGAAATGTTCTTCATTATTTTGAAAAATAAGATCATCATCATTGGCTTTCTTGAAGAGTATTTCTGCAGAATGCAGGTGAAACAGGAGTCATCGTGATGAAATCTAACGTGTGCAGCTCAGGAAACTCATCCACACAGAAGTCACGCCCCTTAGCCTGCATGGAGCGTGTCGATGGTGTGTATATCACACACTGGAACATGGGAACGAGATTTTAAGTTCCACCCTCTGTTGTCTTACATGCTTTAAAAAGTTTCAAAAAGCTCTATTCAAACATAATCTTGTCAACATTTCTCCTTTCTTAAAGAAAAAGGATAGGAAATGTGCATTTGCTCATACATACCAACTTTTATTACTTTTGATAGATTAAGAAGTTGTCTTCCCTTCTAGCTCACTATGATATACAGTAACATGTAAATGTCTTCATTTCCCCAGATGCTGTTGCACTGGTACACTTCTTTTTTTTAATTAAATTTCTTTCTTCCACTTTTTTGACTCTAATTTTGGGTCTTTCCTCCAAACGGCTTTTGGTGATTTGCTCAAAGCAAATTAAATCGCAGAAGGTGGTGTGCTGTCATTTGGAGAGGCCAGCCCAGGGCCAGCGGCCAGCCAGCGGCCCGCCAGCGGCCGGCAGTCAGCGGCGGCCTCCCCCCAG